GAGTATCGTAATTTATAAGAGGAATAATTGAATAAATTTTTTTATTAAAGTTTTTAAAATGAAAGATTTAATTGAATCTTTTTAATTCTTGCATAGGAAAGATTTGAATGTGTCCGAGTATAGTTTTTAAATATTTTATGAGTAGTAACAATTTTTCTAACTATATTAAAAAATATATAGTTCTCAAACTAGTTGCCAAAAAATAGAGCCAATAGATATTTTGAAATATTTAACGCGACCGTGTCGCATTGATAAATTGCAAACATTTTAAAATGGATTCAATTAATTTTATCTTTATATATTCATCTTTATATCTTTATCTTTATGTATTCATAATTAACTTAAAAGCTTTAGATTGACATCTAAAAACCCGAGTAATTAAGATAGTTGCGGCTCAATTTCCCTTTTGGTTCATTTCCTCGTATCGTTTTATATTCTCTCTTTATTCTTTTACTCCTTTGAGCGGCTTTCCGTTCTCTCTCTTTCTCTTTCTCTCGTCCTTTTTCTCTGTTTCGCCGCCACGGCTATAAGGTATGGAAAAGATATTTCATGCGGTCCATTCCTTCCGCCCGTTATTCCCGTGCGCGCAGGCCGGAAGGCAATTACCGGCTGAGAAATGTCTACAAAAGTGGAACGTGCGGGGGTGGAAATTTCGGGAGGTCCCGTGCCCTTTGTGCCCAGCCGCATTTTAATTGCCCTGCCTCTGCCTTTTCTCTTCCTTTTTCTCCGTACCGCGAGAGAGTGTCACGGCCAGACCTTTAGGGGCTCGAGGATGCCGTAAAATATGATTATTCGATTGGCGCCACAAAGGATTCTTCTTAACACTACAAAGCAGAAGATGGGTTCACTGAAGTATTTTATTCAACTTAGTCCATTTTCTTATTTGTATCGATCTGCCGATATTTCAGTTGAAAGAAAACAATTTTGTTCGACTAGTTGGAATAATCTTGTTTTAATAGTCACATAAATTTTTGTTATAATTTAATAAATCGTTTATAAAGTAATTTTTTTTATATTTTTGAACAATTGCATGTAATAATAAAATATTAATTATTAGCAAATTATTTACCCAGCTAAATAAAGATTTTATTGTCAAGGGAAAATTTTAAAATAATATGCACATAATTTTGAGTTGAATTAATTAACATCGGTAAAATAATAGAGTGGCAAAAATGTTATTTCAATAATGAATCTAAAGCATTATATTATATGTATATTATATTATATATTAATATCAAAATCTGCCATTGGAACTTTCGTCGCGTAATTAATACAGACAAATGCTTGGAACTCTGAATAAGCCAAACGCACTCTTCTTTTGAAATCCGGAGATGAAATAAAGAATAGAACTGATATTTAACCTGAGCTGCTTCTTTTGCGCGTTTCATAGGATTCAAGTCAGCGTCTGGCAGGGAGATAATTACGTAATAAGAAATCCGTCAGAGAATTTCGCGGCAGGTGATCTCAAACAACAGTCGTCTACCGGAGGTTTCGCGGTTTTCCGGTTTTGTTAATTATACCAGTCAACGGAAGTGTCACCGGCAGAGCCTGGCCGGCACTTCCGCTCGACAACGTGCATGTAGGACGTCATTGTCCCACGAGAAATTTAATTTAAATCGCGGCTTAACACGCGTCCGACGGCTACCTCTAGCGCGGCGCTGTTAAAATGAGACATAACTCCTTCCCCGTTATTAAGTAACGAAGTTCGCACGCGTAATTAATTTTGAATCATAAACACTGCGGTGCGCTTGTGAGCCGGTGATGTTAAGTAAATGAGAACTCATAAACAGTCATAATTGTCGTGTTCTGTTGCTTATTATTAATTTTATAACACATATAATGCATGGAGCATGTTTGAAACTTCTAATTATTAATATCAATGATGATGGGGAGAAGTTTAATTATAAAAATAAATAATGTTTTCAAATATAATTAAACAATTATATATTATATTATTAAAAAATAATGTATTGCACTTTTGAAATTAATTCGATTCTTATTTGTTAAAATATTTAACGTCGAAAACTATAAATTTATAAGAAACTGGCACATAATTAAACTTTTTACGGTTAAAATGATGCCAGATGGTAGAAAACGTGGTGATTTTTTGACACTGTTTTTATATTCAGGTGGTATCTTGATGTAAGAATAATTCTCTCGTCAAGCATTCGCAACAGACGCACGTACGCGGCACTCGGAAACACGTTTCATCTCTGAATGTCACTGCGAAAGCAGGTCTTGCAAACTCGACCGCGTCTTAGAATGTAATTCGAGTCAGTTTTATTGTTCAAAAGACAATCTCGCGTGCAATCTGCAGACTCGTAGGTTTGCTACTCGTTCGTTCATTGAGTCATGCGCAGTCTTCTTTTTTCCTATTTTCGATCCGGCAGTTTCATAAAACGAAACTCGAGGGACTTTAGTCGATGTTGAGCCCTCGGATAACTGTCGGGTTAGTATCCCGTAATGCGACGTGTAATCCGTGTATCGATAGCTCGTTACATGCTTGCCGAGAAACTCTGAAGCGTAAAAATCCGCGACACTGCGACGTCGCAACCCTTCAGGCGCAACTGTTGCTGCGCCGCAGAGCGTTGCCGTCGCCGCCGCTTTTACTTGGCAGACGGCGATATTTTTCGTTTCGCGAGATATCAACCACGACTATAAATCCATCCGAAGCAGAAAATCGTATCGTAAAATATTGAGATATCCGTTTCCACGTGTGTGACATGTATGCAAGAACGTATGTTCGTGTGCATTATTGCTTGCCGCTCGAAATCACATTCGGGATTATGTGCTCAGTTGAAATTTAACCCTTCGCGGACTACGTACAATACGCTCGATTCAAGGCTTCTCTCACGTCAGATTCGTGCTCCATTTGTTACTATAAAACGTAGCTTTATTTTCTTTTTTATTCGATTTAAATCGAACTGCTAGATTTATGGGTTACTCGCAGTGGAAAGAAAGCGAAGTTTCTCACCGATTATAGATAGTGTTGGCTTTTTCGGTGATTTCGATCGATTAATGGGTTTCGGATAAAAGAGCAAGAGAAAAATTTTTTTAATTATTTTATTTAAATGTATTTTTTTAAATTGTGACAACATATACGCAGCTCAAAAATCATAACTTTAATATAAGGTTCTGTATTTTTTTCGATACGTTTTTTTTCAAATGATAAGTTTTCTACAAGAATAAAAACGTCTTGATTTGTCTTTCAAGAAACGGACAATTTTAAAGAGTTTCAAATACGTTGTCATGCGGGCGCATGACAACGTATGCGCTGCAGCTTTTGCTAAGATCGGCGAGTCTTCCGTCGCGAATTTCCTTCGCAAAGGAGCACGTAGTTGCATAAAGTCGTTGTAACGCCGACGTAAATGCAATACGTGTTTCCGCGCGAAAATGCATGCATGGGGCCGTCCTTTCGTCGACAAGCACCGGCGCGATGTCGACTTAAGCGAATTCCAGGCGAGAAAACCCATCATGCCGCCGCCGGTTTTCCTCGCCGAACTATCATTCCGCGGGCTTGCGGGAAAATAAAACGTAAAGTCGCCCGCAAATTTCGGAAATTGCCCTTGTTACCACAGCGCATAAGTGCGTTACCGCGTTCGCTATAAAAATTTAGACGATAGTTTGGAACCGGTTCATATGGTTCGTTTTTTCTTTCTCTAATATCATAGGTAAGGTTTTAGTCTTAAAGAATATGGAGAAAGAGAGAGAAAGATGTAATGAATGATCGTTTTGTATCGTAAGATAACACGGTAATTAATGATGAAATATTCTGCTTGAAAATTTATTTCTAGTAAGATTAAATAAGCACGCGGATATTAAGAGCGCTGCATATTTCTGATTACGACTTTATATTTAAACTTATTAATATTAACAACTTTTTATAACATATAGTATACATCGTAATATTTTTTCGATATTACGTAAAAGTGGCTACCATTAATTAGCGCAAATATTGTATCCTATTGTGCTCTGTATGAAAGATCAAAGGGTTACCCTTTATTAGCAACATCGCGGTCGACATTGCGGTTGACATAGCGATCTTGCCAGTGCGGATCGGAAAATTCCTGTCGCAGGCAAGGATTAAAAGAGATTTACGCCAAGGGATTATTCATGAGCCCTTGCAAGAGAGGAGGTTGCTCGATAAAAATCTGCATTATTGTCGGAAATGCTCGTCGAGGGGCTTGTCGAACGATGGAACAGAAAGTGTCGTGAACCGTGCTCAAGGAGCTACTTTAAGTCGAACGACCGATTTTCTTTATCGTTCACTCGACTTTATTACTGACTTTCCTTTCAAATCGCGAGCATTATAATTTTATGTATTATGCTTTAAAGATTCACGTCTTGCATATGTATGTTACGTTATATTGTGGAGGCCATATTGGGATATATATCGTATGAAATACGGATGTTCTATTCCTTTTTGCGAGAACATTAATGTTCGAATTAGATAGCACCGTTAACTCGATATCGCCATAGTTATGGTACTCTTAAACGTGCGAAGAATTTGAGAAATAAAGACTACACGTGAAGACACATTTTCTGAATTTCGATTTTATTCGTATAAATATGTAGTTGAATATACAGAAGCAATGCAAAATATGTTTTATCGTAATAAAGTGTATCGTTCAGTGCAGAGTATTCCAGACGGCGTAATCTCAAAAATAATATCACATAAATTTCACACAAAAACAAAAATGTACAAAACTTGATATTTTACTTTACATTAATCAAATTGTCGCGTAAAATTTGAATATTTCACGAAGAAATGCATACATGTTGAAATTATGAAGTTGATAAAATGTGAATTTATGAGCGGAAATCTTGCCAAGATTCTCCGACATTAGAGAGAGTTTTGAATATCTCGAGGGATCGAGGATTGTTGCGGGCTGCCTAAAAAATCCATAACTTTTTGTTATCTGACTCTTCGCTTCATTATTCTTTGTTTTCTCGCGGCGAAATGGTCGTTTCTCTAAACGAACCGTCGATATTTGTTTCAGTACCCATGGAGTCGATACAGGGGGTGGCAGGCCAGAGAGCGATTCTGCCGTGTAACATACAGCCCCGCGAGTCGAACGACGCCGTCTCTATGGTGCTCTGGTTCAAAGAGGACAGCGGCGAACCCCTGTACAGGTAAGCCGCATTGATATTTATGAGCGATGGCACCCGTAGCGCTCGTTCGCTCAGTCTCGACGCGAATCTCTATGGCGCCATAGATTTCTAAGCGGCCTTAACCGTTCAAAGAACGGATAGCGTTGCAAATACGCCGGGATCTAGAGTTAAATTCGGTATCAGAAATCTTCTTTATGAAGTAAATCGTTATTATCCGACGTGATATATAATATACTTTATACATATTATTTTAATTTCGTAAAAATTGCACTGTCAAAATGCATATTACGATTTTTATTGCTACATTGAAAGACGTGGAATTAAATCAAAGACAATTGTTTCACTGAAATTATTTTGAAAATCTTTAGATGAAAGAAGTGAGTGATGTAATTGAATAATGGAATAGTGTAGATAATAAGATTATAAGAAGAAATATAATAAGGATGAAAAGGAATGGCAATAAGATAAGGGAAAGAAGACGTTAAGAACAAAAAAGATTGAATTTTACTGCATCCAGTTTGTGAAGTTATCTCATTTAGTTTCTCGCGAAAAGACATACGTTTACATACGTGTCGCAAGGCAATCGCTCGTGCACAATGTTACATTACACACGTCGTTTT